TGTGACAACTTACGTCTCGGCAATTTCTCCAGGTAACTGGATGCCCCTTCATTCACAATTTATTCGATGAAATCCAAGATGATTTTCAGTGCCATTCTCTCTTCAAATCTGTCCTAACCCTATATCCGAGACAACTACCAGACAACATCAACGAAGCTGAAGATTTTGGGAAGGTGAAAAGTTAACAATTTGTTCTGCAATAAATGTATTAAATTGATTGACATCATATAAAGATTACCGTACATTAATATGTCATTATGCAATATTTAATATTTTTTAATTATCAAATGATTCTGATGATCAATCAGTTAACATTGTTTTAAAGACTGATATACTTAAAGATCTTAAGTTTTATTAACATATTTCTTTATATTTTCAGTAAAATCTAATAAAATCAATAAAATCTGATTAATTTTATTTTAATTGAGCATTCTCAGGCTGACATTCAGAAAACTGGTGTCCATTATGGAACACCAAAGGAAGATACATTTAAAGGACATGCGTCAAGATGTTATGCAGACATTGACCAGAATGGACTCTTTCCGGATCACACGGAATGTAAACACCAGATATTTATATTCAGGTATATCTAAATTCACTGCAAACTATCAAGCTTGAGTTAGCAGCCAGCCTTTAAATATGTTTTTGAATTGTTCAAACATAGATAATTATGTTTTAAAAGAATTCACTTGGAACGTATTTAATGAGTCTCCCTTGACAATGCCTCACTTTTGGCCTTTAGTTGATCGTTCGCTTCTGTGAAAAAGGCTTTGGGTTCTGTCCCTTGGCCGAGACATAACAGAGTCTGTAAAAACGGTAGTTTCTACTCCTGCTTAACGTTCAGCAATTTAGAAGTGACGACTGGTTCGCCCGTTGTCAGTATAATGTGACCGGGTTCGGGTGTCCTGCTCGGTGTCTTCGGCAGTATGTTTCAGTGAGGTAGCACTATAAACTCGGCATCAGTTCCGCGCTATTACTAGGAGACAAACACGAACATATCGCAGCCTCCCAAAACACACATGCTTACACTACACGCATGCATCTTGCACACAGGGGAGGCCGTCCTTAAATGACCATAGCTGTTGAAAGGACGTTAAACAATACTAAACCAAACCAAACCCAAGTAGTCATTATACTAAAGCACTATGACCATGAAGTGAAAAACAATTGTTTACAGTTTAAATTTGTCTTTTTTAATTGAATTCATTGTATTCACAATTCAACGGTTTTAATTGAGTTAATTGTATTCACAATTAAACGTTTTTTTGTTGAATGGTTTTGTAGCACGAACTTTCTGGCAGGTTTTTTCTTAATAAAGGGCGATAACTTGTCGAATCCTTGAAGACATTGAATATTCTAATTACCCAATATGTTAGTTTAACCCTAAAAAGATTACGGCTAAGACAATCAAGCCTGATGTTACCATAGAATGTTGAGAATTTCTCCTCAACTAACCGATGAAGTTACGAATAATGTCTACAAGTATCACCTTTCTGAGTGGAAGTTCATAATATTTCAGACTGGCTGACAACCACAGGTACCGTGCAAAAATCAGCAGATAACTTCTAGGTTAGATTTAGTAGGCTGGTGACATTTTTGTGGATCACATCATATATATTCGGTAATGGTGTGGATTACACATTGAAAAAGCAGCTATATCTACTTAGCAATTGAATAGTTTACTGTGTGAATGGGTTGGTCTATCATTCTTTTGAAGTCAACTGCCCTGCTCCAGATATTGTTAAACCATTGTTCAGATTATTTAGCCCATGGAGATGACAAAACTTTATTGTTTATCTGGACGATGGGAATCGCACTATATTGTACAACATAATAGTTTTCGACAACCTAACCGTGTTCGATACACAAAACCATATCGGTACTAATATGTCGAGGTCAATACTGTACATATGTTACGGCGATTTACATCCTAGTCGTAAACACAAATATTCACTGTTACGGCGATTTCCATCCTGGTCATAAACACTAATACTTTTTTGGATAGATTAACCAACAAGTTAAGTACATTTAAGTTGAATTTAACAACAGATAATCATAACGACTCTGTATGCATAGTTAGAATATATACAGAAGAAATACCATATGGTTGTACAATGCTAGAATTGTTGAATGCTAGCCGTTAGCGCAGAAATGGCAGCTCCGGTTGTATGCTCCCCAGGGGGTTGAGAAAGGTGTTGGCTGGTTGCAAAGGCCCTATAACCACGGATAATAATGTGTGAACCCCTTTGAGACGACCTACGAACTAGGTTGTGATAAAGCGGTACATAAGAACCTCGAATTATTATTTTTACTATTATTATATGATTACATGTGTTCTCATAGCCGACTTAACTTAAAGTTGTAGTTGTCGTGCAAGTATAAATACATCAATTTTTGAAAGACTTTCTGATCCCTCTAGGAAGTTTTTTAAGGAACTCTTAAATTTTAAGTGCCATAATGAACATGATCGTTATTTACACACTTGACAACACCATAGCTTTACAAATACGTACACGAGAACGATAATTGCGTATCCCGGACGCGCCCCCAATTTACTGTTACGGCGATCTACACCCTGGTCTTAAACACCAATCCTGTTTGATAGATTAACCAACAAGTCTAGTACATTCAAGTTGAATTTGATAACAAAGTATCATAACGACCCTGTATACATGTACATAGTAAGAATACATACATAAGAAATACCCCTAAGAATGACCGTATTCAATACTTAAGACTGAAGACTATTTGTTTAATTTTACATTTGAAGAAAAGGTAAAAAGAAAAAATCGCCACCTTTGTCTTAATGGAGAAAATATATATGATATACCTTAATTTAACACGGTTTAATTGGTTTGGTTTTATAGAGATTGTCAATAGCTTATGTTATTTGAGAATATGTGTGTAATGTATGCGTGCAGTTTTGTATATGTGTTGGTGGCAGGTTATGTTTGTATAATTGTATCCTTGCGATAGTGCGGATCTGATGCAGACTTTTAAAAGTGCTATACTGACATCAGGTGAACTTGTTGTTGCCATTTTCCTAAATGCAGAAAATAACACCAACACATTCAACGGATTTAAGCTATTGATAGGACGTTAAACATAATAAAATCAAGCCAGTTAGTGAGTTTTTATTATTCATATTACATAAAAACAGGTTCAGGGAGGACACATATTTATTGATATTTAGAGGTTTCAAATCTACTCAGATTCGTAGATATATAGATGATACAAAGTATGCCTAGGTTATTTTATACTAAATGATTGTATTGGTTTGATTTTGATAAAATATAATTAATTCTGCAATTTAGTGTAAAATTGTACTTTTTGTAAACACATCAGAATTACGTGATCTTAATCAATTAATGAAGTGATAAAGAGAGCTACCTATTTTAAAACTAATGCAGTTTTTATTTGTACACTGTTTATTATTATATTGCAGAGCGTATAGATTTTTAAGACAAACGGATCATCTGTCAGACATCCGGCCCATAGTTAGTGTAGGCATTTTGATATATGTGAACGGGTTATTGATAATGCTACTTATGTAAGCATAGTTATAATGACAATTCAATCATTGTAAAAGTAAATGATTATTCCATTTTCCCCATTTGAATAACTTGTGTGCTAACGAATTTAAATACGTATGCATACATTTGTATGTTAGGTCTTGCACGTAAGCGCAATATGTAATTTACTGTATTTGATCTTTGTAGGGTTTTATGTTATTACAGATAATGAAAATACAGAATTAGAATACATCATCTGACAAAGAACTTTTGATTCGTTTGATCGATTTTTTTGTCAACTTAACAGTCCGAGGCGACTTACAGTATTCCATCTATACATTTTTCTGTTCTCTTTTGATGCACGTTTTATGATTAAAGCGTGTCCCGAGCTTGTGTCCCGTTTGTGTTATACAGTGTAGATAACAAATTAATGTTGGTGTTGAGTGCATTCACCCGTGACGTAAGCTTATTCAATACGAAATGACGTATACACATAGGTTATATCTTGGTACATGTAGCTGTTATGTCGGCATACAATTGAGCCAGGGAGTAATGGTTTTAATATTTTTTGTCTCGTATGAGTTGTGACAATCTCTGGTATTTTATAGAGATTTCGGTATTCACAGAATGGTGATGGAGACATCGGTCTTTATAAGTATACCTAGGTTATTTTATACTAAATGATTTTATAAGTTTGATTTTGATAAAATTTAATGAATTCTGAAATTTAATGTATAATTGTACTTTTTGTAAACATATCAAAATAACGTGATCTCAATCAATTAATAAAGTGATAAAGAGAGCTACTTATTTTAAAACTAATGCATGTACACTGTTTACTTTTAAGACAAACGGATCACGGATCATCTGTCAGACCTCCGACCCATAGTTAGAGTAGTTTTTTTTATATATGTGAACGGGTAATTGATAATGCTACTTATGTAAGCATAGTTATAACGACAACTCAATCAATGTAAAAGAAAAGTATTATTCCATTTTCCCCATTTGAATAACTTGTGTGCTAACGAATTTAAATACGTATGCATATGTTAGGACTTGCACGTAAGCTCAATATGTAATTTACTGTATTTTATCTTTGTAGGGTTTTATGTTATTACTGATAATGAAAATACATATATAGAACACAACATCTGACAAAGAACTTTTGATTTGTTTGAGCGATTTTTTTTGTCAACTTAACCGTAAGAGGCGACTTAGTGTATTCCATCTATACATTTTTCTGTTCTCTTTATATGCACGCTTTATGCTTGAAGCGTGTCCCGAGCCACTTTTATTCATAATACAAATGACAAACAGAAATGTACCACACAATCCTGGCGGTCCATTCTATTCAACATTGCATTTGTGTTATACAGTGTAGATAACCATGTTTGTGTCCAGTGCATTTACCCGTGACGTAAGCTTATTCAATACGAAATGACGTATACACATACGTTCTATTTTGGTACATGTAGCTGTTATGTCGGCATACAATTGAACCAGGAAGTTACCGATTTTAACATTTTTGTCTCATTTGAGTTGTGACGATCGCTCGTACTTTACAGAGATTTCGGTATTCACAGAATTCATCTGTCTTTATAATACTATAGGTGTACCACTGACAACAAATCCCAGCAAACAGACTTGTTATTTATGGAAAAGCGTTTAAACTTTATATAAGACATTATGATAATTCCTGCATACCTGTGCATACAGGTGTGTTACCTGTACAATGAAGTGACATACACACATGGAGTTAGGGAAGCTAAAAATCAACGATATTTAGGTGAGTAACATGCTAGTACTAAATTGGTTTGGTTTTATTGGATTATTAGGCTATTGTTGTTAACACATGGCATAACATACATATTAATAGTTGTAGTATTTGAAGCGTTATATATATCATGATATGTATAAGAAAGACACTGTTAATAGGCCACCATTATTCTATGGTGGACTATTATAATTGCCTTTTGTCCATGGTTCATCCGTCCTTCCTGTTAGCGCTATTACTCAGACAGTATATATTGGACCGTAGTTATGTGAACAAAATAGCCGACATGTTGCCATCTTGCATCGATAGTTAAGGTTTGTTATCTCTATTTCTCAGTAATCATTAGAGGGAACTTCTCTTTAAATTTGATTTGTAGGTTTCCCTTGGTCTCTAGTTGTGCATTGTTAGTTTTGAGACTGAACGTCAAAAGCATGGCCAACAGGCGGCCATCTTTGAATTTGACAATTGAGGGTTGTTTGTTAACACTGTTTCCCAGAAAGAAGTAGAGGGTCCTTTCTAAGAATTAAAAGGCCATAGAAAAATAAATGTTGGTGGGATGTAGAAAGAAATATAACGATTCCAAATATTGCAATGAATGCAGCAGAATGTTTTTGTCACTTTCGTGTCTCCAAGTAGATGGCACAAAAGCAGATCCCCAATTCTACAGGGGTTCCCATATACAATGTAAGTCGCCTCTAACGATTACATGCAGTGGGTAACAGCAGAACTATTCTTTTCTCAAGTTATCCACGCTATTTCAAGGAGTCAAGTGTTAACGTGGAACAAGCGTCGGTTGTTGAACCGGGAAAAGAAACACTGAGAGAATGAATTACAAAACTAAGATGATGTTTATTTACAATGAAAAACATTTAAGCATTAAATATATACCAGACACCCTCACAATCTCACACTCTCTCCAACAAAGTAATAAATTGTCTAATTAGCTTCACGCTTCACACACGGCCACGACGATGGTAAATACAAAAGTTCCAAGGAACCACAACAAAGTTCCCACAACAGTCGCTGAATTGTGACCCAGCTCATTTCAGAGCCAATATCTTCAAGCAGTACCATGCTTGTAAACACCTTGCTAGGTAAACACACTAGTGTCCATGACACGACAGCGTCCTACTGGGTGTCACATAACACATATCGCAGCCTCCCAAAATACACACACATACACTACACGCATGCGGTCTCACTTAAAAGCGTCTTCAATCGACAACAAGCGTCTTCAAGTGACAACAAGCGTCGCCAGACAAAATCTTTAAAAATACTGAATAAAGTAAGCGACATCAGAAGATATGTTGTTAATATGACTATAATACACCTCTGTACCAAATTTCAATTTGATATTTGATAAAATGACCGAGTTATGATGAATTGAATTTTTACGATCGCGGCGTGGCACATGTGTGTATTAGCATGTAAAGTGAAGAAAGCGTCGCCAGATAATATCGTTACAATTACCCGCTAAAGTAAGCGACATCAGAA